AACCAAAAGAAAAGTCCAGTTGCCATGACTCAACCTCCAGACATTTTTATTGATCATTCTTCAGTTTTAGAGAAGCATATGAATTAAAATTGTCCTAAAAGACAATATGTATCTGCTCAGAAGTAAGCCTATATTCATCGAGGCTCGCTCTAAGCTAAATGGATACAGGATTCCCAAATGCCTTCTATACACGTTTACCAAAATCAAGCCGTACTGGGTTGTACTCAGTGCCCAACGAAAAGCAAAATAATCCCTGCTCTAGCAATGGAAGGGGCTGTTACGGACTCCCCAGTCTGCTCCAGGTAGCCGGAGAAACTCTCCACTGCCAGTATGGGGGGTGGGCGAAGGCGCAGGCTTTCGGCAAGGCCTCCAAAACCTTTCCAGCCTGGTGTTGTCACCGCGACGTGAGTCAGCAAACCGGGAGAAGGAAGTCGTTCGTCCTGATTCGTGGAAGCGGCTCTTATTCCCTCCCGCTGCAAGGCCAGCAGGCGCCGGGCCTACTCTCCTCCGCAGGTCGGAAACGAAGGAAGTGCTGAGTAACGCTTACTCGTGGGTTTGGAAGTGTTGTTAGGCCGAGCCCGCCCCAGCCCCCAAGGCCGAAAACTGGATTCGCCTCCGCCGTCCTGCTGAAGGAGGGAAGCCCCACTACCAGTCCTGGCGCTGCAACCGCCTCGCGCCTCTGCTCGGGGTTCTCCTGAAAGACTTTGCCCACCTTTCCTCACAAAATCAAGAAAAGATTCCCTTCGGGGGGCTGCGGGGGGGGAGGGCTGAGAGGTAAACTTACACCTATTGTTATTGTTGTTATTCTCGCCTCGCCTGCGCGGGGACTTTCCCACCTGAAGCCCGCCCCTTTTCCCGGGCTGCAGCGCCCATAAATAGCGGGGCGGGTCGTCATCGGCAGGCAGCGACAGGAGAGGAGCTTTCTCGCCTGGAGTTGACGCGCGTCCGCTGCTCAGCCGGCCTGCCCGAGCGCCAATTGTTGCTGCGCCACAAAGTCCAGCGCCCCCGTCGCCACCACCGCCGCGATGGCCTAGGTGACGGGC